CTGAAAGGGTGAGAGAAGGGTTACTAGAATGGTGCCTGGGATGGAGAGGTTGTCATTAGAGGAGAGGCTGAATTCTCTTAAATTGTTTTCTATTGAAAAAAAGAAGAGTTAGAGGGATTTGATTGAGGTGTTTAAGACTGTAAAGGGAATTGATAGTGTTGATGATCATCTTTTTTCATATTTAACAGTGAGAATAGTAGGACTAGAGGACATAAATATAAATTTTGTCAAGGTAGGAGTCATCGTCAGCTAACACAGTTCCATTTTTCTAACAGGATGGTTGGCCTTTGGAATTTAAGTGAGTTTAAGAGAAAGCTTTATAAGTATATGAATGATAAGAGCTGGCTTTAAGATTTCTTTTATTATAATTTTAATTTAGTTTAGAGGATGGAACAGCCAAGATGAACCGATAAGTCCCATGTTGTCCCAAAATGTTATGTTATATTCAAAGCTACTTCTGCTCACAAAATGCTAATTTACACGCGACTTTAATCCACTCTTATTCAGTTACTGAGACGGTGAAACCCTGTGCCATTATGCGATTCGTCGATAGAAACATATCTTTTATACCCGGACATAATGATTAATTTTTTCTGCAAGAAATTCCGCTAATTTCCAATTAGCGAACGAGGACCATGGCAGAGTTGGAAATAATTAAAGTTAAGATGTGTGTCTATTTGAATGTCTGTCCACGTCCAAACTGAACTGAAAGAAAAAACAGAAACTTCGAAAATTGTCTACGTTACCTCAGGGAGTAAGAAGCATGTGGTACTTTCATGTACTACAAAATTAATGTAACAGGGTGGGAACGATTCGTGTTTTTTTTCTTCTTTTTTTAAAGGTAGAACGCCATACCGTTATTTTTTCAAACGAACCCCACCTTACACAGTTAAATGCGCTTTGGCACTTATTTAGCACTACTCCACTGAATGAGACAGAGAATTGTGTCTCCAGTTTCAATATATTCTAATATCGCGCAACTTCTGACATCTAATGTGAACATTTTGATATTTTTTATATTATTGTTATATTTGTTATAGTATCTACTTTCATCCTCTGGCGGATCAGCAGTAAGTTTGCGGACTTACAATGTTAAAATCTAGGGTTCAGTTCCCCGCAGTGGACAGAGCGTAAATAACTCATTGTGTAGCTTTTCGCTAAACAATGACGTACCTACTTTAGTATTTTGGCACTAGTTTTATTTTGTTAAATTTTTCAAAACTCTTTTTTTTGTGTGTGACATCATTTGGATACAATAAGCAAATTAAAATATTATCATTTATATTTTAAAGTTGCAGAATTAATCCTCAACTATTATATACATTCAAGAAAAATACAAGATAATTATATGAAACTTGTTTAATTACAAATGTAACGTTTTATATAATAAATACGTACTCAGACAATCTTATACAAATATTAAAAAAATTTCAGAAAGTGTTGTTAGTAGTTCTTGCGATTGAGTAGTATTCCTTGAATTACTCTGGCTTATCAGCAGTTTATAACTACATACGAATTATTACCTGGATTTTATGCGTGTGATTTTCTCCCTCATACGTTTAATATCCGGGCAATTCAATTTGTTGCCAGATCAGAGCCTCATAAGAGAGGGAGGGGTGTCCGAACTGCGAGTACTGGAGTGTAAAGAGATGTGTTAGGTTTTAGTGCAGTCACTGAGAGTGCTAACTGTTGAAACTTATGCTAGTATGTATAGTGTAAAGATTTTTATTATTACTTTACTCTTCGCACATATAGTCTTCGACAAATATAGCATAAAAAACATGATTCCCTGTGTTACATCAAAATATTTTTAAGTGCTGTAATCATTGAACTTAGTCATACAACATTACAAGTTGCCGGCAACCGTTAGGACGTGTGGCGTTAGTTTCGACAGTGTGGTCTAATAGTACTATTAGTAACAGTAATACGACTAGTCTTAACTGTAATATGGGGTGTGCAGTCAGTTCTCTAGCAGATAAAGAGGCAAATGAAAGATCGAAAAAAATAGACAAAGATTTGCAAGATGATCGAGCAAAGCAAAAAAAAGAAGTCAAACTGCTTCTTTTGGGTATGTTTCACAATTATATTAATTAATAAAATTTAAGGTTAGTATCAACTATCGAATGAACGTTTCTACCTAGTTTAAACTTTAACTCAGTCTTACTGAGTATTAGTATTATTAATACTAGTATATTAGTAGTATTAGTTATAGGCTTAACTGTAGTAACAATGCGTGAAGAACTAATAAACTATTAGTATTAAGCTATTGAATATTATTATTAAATCAGTAATTTGCCATTCTGATATAGCGTATAGACTAACATTAACAATAAACTTTAAGCTTGACGTAGCAACTTCGCGAAGTTCATACTCAACATTTGGTGTAACTCCCAGTTTTTCAAAAGGAGTTTATTATATTTGCAGTAACAATAATTCTGAAACATGAAAATGATAGTAAATTGTAAAAGTACAGAATACTTAACATTGTGTTGACTTAAAAATATTGTGACAGTAATATTTTCTCTTAAACAAATTTACATTAGTAGTATGCATGCACAGTATTTGTACAAAACTGTTATCAATCATTAAATGTGTGGATGTAGCCTAGTGCAGTGGTGTGTAAACGTTTTTTGGATGCTTCAAAGTTATGTCAACTTAACATTCTTTATTCACACAAATAAAATGTTTATTGCTGAATAACTTGTTCATTTAACTGTTTGTCAGAAAATATTCAATGTGGATTAATAATAATAGAACAGCATTTAGCACTATAAGTCATTAACCTATTTATAAGAATAAGATCCGTGTTTAATCATGACTAGCTCTAGTTAAATAGGAATAACTAAAAATGGGGAAAACAAATGTTTGGCTTTTATCATATGCCACTGAAACACTGCCTAGTAGTACATTTAAATTTATGTTTGCTTTGATTTCTCTGCATGCTTGTGTTTTTATAATTTCTCGAAGTTTTTCCTGTAAAATGTAAACATTAATAATTTTAATGTTTTTTGTTGTTTTTTTAACCTTCTGTCCATATCAACAACTTCTTGCTTATAAGCTTATGATGCTTTTTATACTTACAAACTTTTTAATTATTTTTTTTTTACATTTACAAGGGAATTAAAAAAAAAAAAATTCTCTGGTATGAATTTATTTTATTTCTTATAAAATTTAAATTTCCTCCTTGTGAATTATTTTAACTTTTGCAAAAATGTTATCCAGTATTGTAATTTGTCTCCCAAATAGTAAACTTTTAAGCTTTTTGTTCTGGGATCAAAGAGAATTATTAACTAGTTGGATATATTTGAAATATTTAGAACATGATTTCTGAGTAATGTTAATGTGTCATGAAATCAAATGTTAATCTTTTTTTTTTTCTATTTTATGTATACAGACTTCCAAATTTTTTACATGAGACCTGTTAATCCTAATTTTTACTCCCAATTTCATGTCTTTGTACATATGGAAAGCTCAAAAAATTGAATTTAAGATAGACAGAAAATGTTTTGGCTAAAGGGTGACATTGATGGGCTTTGTCATCTTACCTTTCGTTTCTGAATAACAGTGGGGAGAATTTTTACTGGAGTTTGCATTGAAATGGGAGGTATTTTAAAGTTTTTGATAGCCTCCAGATTAAGCTCCTGGCTTTAATGAGATTTATCCTGAAGCTTTAAACTTGAGAAGGTGTAACAAGTTAATGGGATTTTAACTGGAATTATTTTATAAGTCTCTTATCACTAAGGCTACTTCTGGTGATAACTATTTTTTGAAACAGAATTTAGGAGAGGTCTGGAAAATCTATACCTATTCAGTTTCATTTCTGTTGTTAACAAGATGTTGGAATCTGTTGTCAGAATTGTTTTTAGAAAAACATTTTGAAAAGTGGCTTTTGATTAATATGCAGCATGGAAATTATTTAGGAGACTTTGTTGTCCTATGTTTTTTTAATGAGATTCACTGTTTTTAGATGAGGGTACTTATTTTATGTTTATTTTAATTTTAAAAAAATTTTTGATAAGGTACTTTGAAAGAGATTAACTATTAAGTTGGATTCATGAGAAATTGGTGGACAATTTAAGTGGATAATAAACTGAGTTAGTGACTGAAAGCAAAGAAGATTTCACTCGTCACATTCTCCAAAATTAACAAGTCTAACGTATAGGGTACTTCAAGGGCTCGTTGTTTTTGTTTTCTGTCATGTTGGTAGTTTGAATCACTTCTTAAACTAATGTTTCTGAATTTGTTGATAATTCAAAATGCTGGGAATAACATTCTGTTGTGAATTCTGTTATTCAAAAAACCTTGACAAGTATTAAGTGTGCGAGAACATGTAAAACATGACATAAACAGTTGGGATAGAGAAACATGAAAAGGACTTGCTTCCTGTGTAGATGAGAATTGGTATGGTGTTGTAGAAATAGAATAAAGTTTAGGTAAGATCTTTTAAAAATAAAAACATGAATCCATTTGCTGGGTGACTAGCTCTTTTAGTTACATTTTTAAAGACATCAAGTGAGAATTGTGCATGGAAAGATTTTTAGGTAGGGTTTCATGACAAGTTTTGAACTGAGGGTTGAGAAATGCTTGTTAGAACAAAAAATCACCTTAATATGAGGGAAACTGATAAAAGCTACCCATTAAAGTTTTACTCTTGTGTCTTATTATATTGCTGTAGTGTGTAATTACCAGAGTGACTTTCATTTGGTTTCATTTGATAGTGGCTTTGCAGCACTACATGTAGAAATATTCATTGGGGAGTATTTACATTGACAAAACCAGTAATGACTTTAAACTTTGATAAAGTTTCATTAAAAACTGAAGTATCTAGAAGGACAAATTATCTACATTTTCAAAAATTAATGTTCTTGCTAATGAGAAAGTATTAAAAAAACTGTAATACATGTTAATTTTTTATTATTCACTTCTTAAGGTTTTTAATCAGTGATTTAACTGATTGTTTAAGTTTTTTCTTTTATGGATTTAAATACAATGGAAAAGAAACCATTTTATGATTTATAGATTCTTATTCCATGACCTCAGTGTCTTTTACTCAAACATTCCACCATATGATATCCTATAAATTGCTTAATTACATTTATGCATTTTATAGTTAACTAAGATATTTAAACATTTAATACTTTCAATTTTGTTACTTAAGGGTTCAATACCTATAAACTTAGAGAATGTCTTTCTTGATGATGATGTATCTATTTTTTCATCCATGAAGAAAAATTACTGTACAAAAGATGGAAGTTAGTTTCTGTTACTTTTAACTTAGTACTGTATAGACAAATTCAGAGGAATATTGAAAAAGTATCTACATTTTTAAATATTAGTGTTTGATACAAAATCAGTAATGTAATTTGTATGGTTAAATGTCTAGAGAAACTGAATAACTTTTTTTTAACAATCCATTACATGAATTTAAAATCTTACTCATTTTTACAAAACATTAATAAATGAGTGGGCATTGTAGATTGCAATAAAAGTAATACACACATGCATGTGTGTGTGTGTATTCATTTTAACTTAATACTCTCCAATTAAATCTTGGACCATTTTCTTCTAATTCATTCAAAGTACAGTGATTTATTTGTATACAAAAATGAAATAACCATAGGTTTGTTAGTTTGTGTTCATATTTAGTTACTTAGAATTTAACACCTAACTTTCTGCACTTTGTGTATCATCTGCTATATTATTAATAGATGGGGTTTTATGTTGCATAGATATTATAGTTTTATTATTTTATGGTGAACATCATTTGATACTTTTGTTTGTTTGTTGTCTATGGAAGTAAAACATAATTTGGTGATATCATTTATGATTTACTTGTGTTTTTATGATAACTCGGAAATTTCTTTCATCATTAGTAGTTACTTGCTATGGCATCTCGTATCCACATTTAAAATTTGTCTTTTCTGTTTTTGAAATTGAGCCAGATAGCCATTCACGTGATTCAATAATAATTTCCTAATAGGATGTACTTATTGCATCGTGCTAACGCGTAGGCATGTACTTAGATTACAATGTGTAGCACATGAAACTATAGTTTTTCATGAGAATGTATGTTTGATCTGATTTGAAAGTTTTTACCAAAAACTGCTAGTTTTTTTTTAAATACATTAACCAAATTATTGAATTTCTAACAAAAATACATTATTACTTAAAACATAAAGTAAACTTTCTAATTTAATTTAAAACTGATTCATTGAAAAATGTTTTGACCGCATACAAACCTATGTAATAAAGTAGTTCCTTTTGATTCTCTAAAGCTATTACATAATAATATTGTGCATGTGTAAGCAGTAAAGTATTTAAACTTATTGACAATAACTCTAACAATCACATGTGGTATTCTTGTACTTCCCTACACTTTAAAGCAGTTTTATGTAACTTTTAATGATGTTTATTTTTCATATAACAGAAAAGTAAATGTATTGTGTTCAGGGAGATTGAGATCAATTATTGCTACTAATGATACTTGGGAATTAAATTAGACCAAAAAATAGCTCAATACAGAGCTTGAATCATGCAGACTTGGATGTACACTTAGTGAATCACAATCTTAAGTTGTGCTTGTATTATAGCTATTCAACACTTACATATATTTCAAGAATAACATGAAATATAAATTTCTTAGCAAATGATATGAAATAAGGGAAATAATTCGATCTGTATCTGGAAGCACCACCAAAGATATGCCTGCTTATATATCACTGTAAACAAATATGAAGTAGTTTTAATTTCAAGTTAAGCTAAAGTTTACACATTATTTTGTAATGATGTTTAGCATTTAATTACTATATTAAAGTTTTCATAATGTTTATGCTATTATGACTTGAAGTTGAAAGTGTTTTTTTTTTGTTGTTGTTGTTGATTATTAAAGTGT